TTATTTCTATATTGACAAGCTAGAGTAGAAAGAATGAATATATATACAGATTTTGAATAATTTTAGAAGTCTAAACGTTTGTTTTAAAAGTAATTTTAAATATCTTACAGTTTACTGATTCCGATAAAAGCACATGTTCCATTTTATTCTCCTACAGTTATATCGTATGATGTATAATTTCAAGTCAAGCTTTCAGTAATAAATCTTCATCTGCTTTCAATTTTTTGGAATTTATTATGTTGTGTTGAGTCACATCACTTTGACGGTTTTTACTTTACTTCCATCGCCTGTTACTCCCAGTGGAGAATAGACCACCGATCAGCTTTCTCCAACACACTGTCCTGAACCTTACTTTCTAGTTCTATCCAATTATTGTTCATTCTCCTCATATCTGTCTCCATTTCTCGGCATAAGGTGTTCTTTGGTCTTCCTATCCTTATTCGGTCTTGAGAATTTCGAGTGAGGGGTGGCCCCGTGACACAGTTCGGTGCTTTCCTCAATGTGTGTCCTATCCACTTCCACCACGTCTTCCTCATTCCTTCCTCCTCTAGAATATGGTTTGTTCTCTCCCACAATAGGTTGTTGCTGATAATGTCTTACCAAAGGAACACAAGTATTTTGTGTAGACAATTGTTGATAAACACTTGTATCTTCTGGATGATGGGTTTTGTAGTTGTCCAAGTTTCCGTCCCATACAGTAGAATTGTTTTGATATTTGTATTGGAAATTCCGACATTGATGTTGGTTGACAGACAGTTGTTTTGAGTTCCAGATGTTCTGCAGTTGCAGATATATGCCGCTCTTGCTTTGCCGATCCGCACGTTCACATCTACATCAGACCCACCATGTTCATCAATGATGCTGCTCACATATGTGGAGGTTTATATGTCATCCAAAGCTTCTCCAGCAATTGTGACTTGATTGGTGCATGTTGTGTTGTATTGGAGAATCTTACTTTTCCCTTTGTGTATGTTGAGATCTACTGATGGTGAGGCTGCTGCAACACTGGTCGTGTTCTCCTGCATTTGTTGTTGTGTGTTCGATAGGAGGGCCAGATCATCTGCGAAGTCTAGATCATCCAGCCGCATCCTAGCTGTCCACTGTATCGCATGCTTCTCCCCAGATGTTGACGTCTTCATGATTCAGTCGATCATCAGGAGAAAAAGAAAGTAAGAGAAAGTAAGCCACCTTGCCTGACACCAGTCTTTACTTCGAACGAGTGTGTGAGCTGTTCTGCATGCACGAATTTTCAGTTTAATCCAATATAAAAATTTCGTATGATATTGACTATCTTCTGAAGCACACCATAGTGTCGAAGAAGCCTCCATAGTGTTGTCCTGTCCACGCTTTCAAATGCTTTCTTGTAGTGAATGAAGTTGATGGCGAGTAATGAATTCCATTCAACTGATTGTTCCACAATGTTCAGTAATGTTGCGGTTTGGTCGGTACATGATCGATCCTTGCGGAATCCAGCCAGTTGACATTTTGACAGTGGTATCATCGATATCAGCCACAACAGTTTGTAATCACTTCTTATAAGTTGTAGTTAACAAAAATAGGGCAAATCGTGAAAGTATGTGTGTTTCACACATCGACTCATAAACTATGTACTGAAAGTAAGATCAGTATCATCTATTTCAAAAATGTATCTCAATAGTATTTTTAGAATAAATGTGAGAAATTAATTGGAATTCTGAATTATAAGTTGAACATCTTTGTTTAATATATCTATTGATAGTTTAGAAAATTCAAAGTGAATGTAAACAACGAAATTATAACAAAAATAAATTCCTATATAATTTCTAAAAAAAATTTCTTCAATCTTAATTAAAAGTTAGTAATTCTAATTCAATTGCAAATCTTGGTGTTTCAGAGTGAATATCAACTCTGAGATTCAGGTACACTCAGTTGACGAGTCCTAAATAGGAAAAAACGGGCGTTAAAGTGGATTCCACTGGTAGCCATTATCAATATTTGTTTATAAAGATTGTGACTTAAGGTAATATTGAGACAGTCCTCACAGGATGCATGTATGTTAACATGAGACTGATCAATTACAGTCCTAAATAACAATGGGAAGATACAAGTAAACAATATCAAGTGAAATCTTGGTATGGTTGATCCGTTTGAATACTATAAAATGTTAAAGGAATTCATTAGTTTTTCAGATTTATTAAGAAAGTAAAATATTTAAATATATATGAATATTTAGAGTATTTGCAGATTAGGATATGGATGTTTGTAGTCTTTCAGTCTTTGAGTTGGATATGTTCGGTTGTGAAATTTTCATCGTTCAGCTGAACATCATCATTATTAAGTATATCAGTGATTTCATTAAAACTCAACAATATCCACAACTCCTTACTGAATTTTAATTCCATGGTACATTTCTCTGTATTGACAAATCTATTGAGACTCCAATGTAATACTCAAATATTCAAACATTTGATTATTCCATACGATAACATCAAAAAAGTCAATTACTACTAGGTTAGGTAAATCAGTATGTTTAGTTTATTGCATAATTAAATGAAATTAGTCTTTACATACTTAATAAAGCCAACAACAACAACAACAAAAAAATTCATTGTTTAGATTAGAATAGTAATTTCACATTATGCTTATGTCATATTTTCGTCAGAATATCGAAAATAGAAGAATTTAAATGTCACCTATATGTAAATCCGTAGCTCAGCAGATATCTGAGCAAATTATTACAGAAATATTCCGTAAATTAACATAGTAAATATACCTTAAATAGTTACAAGTTCATAGAGATCGATCGAATTAGAATAACTATTGTGTTTTTCAATTGTGTTGTTAGTTTACACTTGATGGGGTGTGCACATAAATAAACTAAAGAATATTCTACTAATATTTGACATAATCATTTTTACATATAAGTGTAGGGATATAAAAATAATTGTAAACCATTATGAATAACATTACAATGTCGGTTAGGGTTTTTTAGCGAGTTAGTTTTCTATGGGATGGGTTCGCTAACCCCGTACCCAACCCTCTTCCTTTATCCGGGCTTGGGACCGGCAGCAGCTCCAGAGGAGCTCCAGGCGGCTAATGACCTATTGAACACATATATTAGAAACAAGCTGATATTCAAGTACATTTACATTATTGACAGGGTTATTGACGATGAATATGTAATGATGCCAAGTTAATTCATAAAAACAATTCCCAGAATTATTTTAAAATATACTGAAGATTTAAGCGTATAAACTGAAGTTTTAGTAACCCAAACCGTATAAATTGATGTAACAGTGAATAATTCAAAATAGCATATAAAAATACAAAATAATATCTACAGCCTTTCATTTTCATATCCCTATCATATAGTTTGGTTATTATAAATGTTTTACAGTAGAAATGATATCCTAATTAAGTAATAACTAATGTAACCCTTCAACTGCAATATCTGAAGGTCCTGGATCCGTTTTCATATTGAGTCTGGTATGTGTACGGCTTAAAAGTTGTAAATCAAAATGAAAAAAATGAAACCAATTGATGTTTACTGGTATCTAATTGTTGATTAGGTGTTGTTGGTCCAAATTAAATAACGTTTTCATAATCTGAATAAATAATTCAATTTTAAACAATTGGAGACATGATTTAAATATTTTGAAAATATTTTCACAGTTGAATTCACGAATCGATCCCATCTAGACTACCATTGAAAACCTGGAAGCACTGAACAGCTGTTTCGCTCTAGTATTGGACTCCTCAACAGTGGGACTTGAACCCAGGACCTTGAATTTCGCGAGCGAACGATTAACTTCTAGACCACTGAACCAGCATCCAACGGTGTTAGTGCCTAAGTTCAATCGTTCGATAATCTTGTGCAACCCAGTGCTTCCAGGTTTTCAATGGTTATCCAGCATAAATCAACTTATGAATTCAAATGTAAAAATACCACAATCTTCACATATCCTTATAATGAATTTGAAAAGAATTAATTAATAGTGAAGTTTGTTTTCTACCTAATCGGATACAAAAAACCTTATTACAAATGTTCGATCTCTGATATATAACTGTCATGTGACCAACACAAGGAGTTTTCCAAACAGATTTTCTGAACTAATCAATACACTAATGAAAAAAAGCTATTGTTTACTTGTAAACCTGTCAAGGTTCCACTAAAACTAATTGCAAACAAACCAAAAAATGAAATTGTATAATAAATGTTTCCAATAATTATTGACATTTACTGTAACATTCATCATAAGTACTGCTGATTTTTTTAAATGTAGGGTTATAGATTTATGATAGAATAACTAAACAAACACTTAGGTTTTACTTGACATTAATTGACATTTATATAAAAGCAAGGATAGAAAAAACACCTAAAGATTAAGGCATTAATAACTTTCTCGTTTATACTTAAACTATTACGTATATCGAACACGGTAAATGAAACACTGTTTCCTTCTCGAAGACATTATATTGAAGTCAAAGGTATCATTAAGAATTACATATACACACATCTATTGAAATAATCTTGTATGTACCATAAAAAAACAACATTCTATGCAATTTGTAAATATGAGTGGGTTGGTTGAAGTTAGACATTAACACCGTTGGATGCCGGCCGGCTCAGTGGTCTACTGGTTAAGTGCTCTGTCGCGAGACTGGCAGGTTTCGGATTCAAATCTCTCGGGAGGCGGCATCGTGGATGCGCACTGCTGAGAAGTTCCATACTAGGACGAAACGGCCGTCCAGTGCTTCCATGTTTTTCATGGTGGTCTAGCTTCAATTAGCTAATGATTTCAATTATTGAAATGGCTTAATGCATTTCGATCAAATAAGACTTAAGTCTACATAGTGTCTTATTTCAATATTTCAATGATTTACGTTCCCATTTCAAATTGTTAACCGGCCACTATTTATTTTTTTTGTTGGTTTTTTTTTAAAGAACAGTTGATGAGAATACACTCTATATACATAGTTTTAATTAATTTTATTTTTAGAAAAAAGTATACATTTTCAATATGCTTCAATTCTATTTTGGATTATATGGATTAGCTATCTTTTTATGTTTTCTTGGGTTTTTATATGCTTTAATTGAAAAAGCATATAAACAGTTAAAAATTAATATAAACAAATCTCATTTATCAAATTATTCTGAAATCATTTCATTCAATTCAAATCAAAATAGTACAACTCATAAAAAGATTTCAAGTATCATTGAAAAGGTTGAACCAAACAATTTAATGGATACAATGAAAACCAATGAAATCTTTGAAAGTAAGTTAATTCATTAATATATCTTTCTGTAATTTAAATAGATTATCCATAAATCATATTCTATCCATTTAAATAGTTGAATACTTCTTACAAGTAATTATTACTGTATAGGGTTTATTAATCCTTTTTCTTGTTTACAAAAAACTAAAATATTACTTTCATGTATTTTAGTAGAAAGCTTAGAAATGAATTCATATCATTTGATATTGTTTTCTTACTAAACATAAGTTTAAATTTATTTAGTGTTATTTTACTTGTATCTTCCCATTGATATTTAAGACTGTAATTGATGAGTCTCATGTTGGCATATGTGCATCCTGTGCGGATTGCCTCGATATAGCCTTAAGTCACAAGATTTTTAAGCAAATATATATAGTGGCTAGCAGTGGAATCCAGTAGTGAACATCAGCTCTGAGATGCAGGTACATCAAGCTGACGAGTCCCAGATAGGACGAAACGCGCGTCAAACTAGATTCCACTACTAGCCACTATCCATCTTTGCTTAGATATAAGTTCGTTTTGCAGTTTATTAAAAAGTATCAATATTCATGACAATTTTAGGTTGAATGAAAATAATAACAACAAGAGCATAAAAACAACCAATTTAAGCAAACTAGTTGTATTGCCGGGATTAGAGAGAAAATATTTTCAAAAAACTAATAAATCACTATTTTGTTTACGAAAAATACAAATGTCACCTATTTTTCCTATCGAAATAAGATGATCTGTATTATTATTTTATTTGTTAGTTGTTGTTTGTAATCAGAAGGGGTGTTTTGTAGAAACTGTAGTAATTTTATAGTTGAATTTATAAGTTAATTGAAGCTAGATTATCATGGAAAACCTTAAAGCATTTGATGGCCGTTTCGTTCTAGTATAGGATTCCTCAACAGTGCGCATCCACGATCCTGCAATGTAAGATTCGAGATAGATAGGTCCTGGGTTTGAATTTTGTGAGGTGGGATCATGGATGCACACTGCTAAGGAGTAACACTAGGATGAAACGGCTATTCAGTGTTTGTAATCAGTTAATTTCTGTCCAACATAATGTTATACCATAACTCTTTATTCTTCCATTCTGATGGTATGGACTAATTGTTTTAAAGTATATGAAATCGCTGACGAGATGTGTAATATAAATATTATTTCATTCCTTTTTGGTCAATAGTTATAGGCAGAAATACTGAACTACTTTGCATTTTAGGATGGTGTATGTTCACTGCTGAGGAGTTCTATACCAGAGCGAAACAACCGTCCAGTGCTTTTAGGTTTTCCGTGATGGTCTAGCTTAGATTGACTCAGGAACCCAACTATTAAATAAACTAAACATTTGGGATCATAATACAGTTTTTTGATGTACTGTGTACTTCGAACTATATGATGTAATCAGATTTTTTTATCTTCTCACAAAACAACACAATAAATTTGTTAGAACGTGTGGTTTTATGCCCCCATCATCGTTTAACGTAACGAGACCGCCAATTAGAGAACAGTGATTTATCGACAGATCCAATGATGCATAAAACCCGTACGACCAGTCTAGAGTTTTTATCGACCTTGTTTCCCGCCTAGCTCTGCCTGTTAAGTCCGGAACACCAATCTCAGCCTTCGCGATATGAATCATATATTTCAAATATACCGGGTTTATATACCAACCAAACAGACCACATTGTACCATAAAATAGGAAACAACATTTGTACAAGATTTAGCCAAAAGTGACTGTAAATGTGGGATACTGTAATTAGTAAACTGGGAATAACTTAAGAATGGTAAATCGTATAATAATATTCTGTAGGTCAAAATAAAGCCTATAATGAGAGGAATATGAATATGCATAGTTTAGTTACTTAATGCTTATACGATAAAAATATATGTAAAGTACTAATCCAGAAATAGATCCCAACAGTTGCCATTCATTATTTTTATCGGGATATAACAAAATTAATACCTATAAAGTTAAATAATGAACTATTCAAGTCGGAAAATTAATACCTTTAAAATGCCTCTTCTAAGCAACACATAATCATCATTTTATTACTAAGTGTATTCGAAAACGTTCTTTATAGTTTCCATTTATCAACTTCTTGTTTCTAACAATCACATCTTTGGGTAATGTAATTTTATCACTGTGGTAATTAATTTTCCATACTGACCTTAATAGGATGTGACTAAAATTCTATCACCAACATTTACTACAGTGCTAGCACTGTAATGTTTTTTAATATATATATATTTCATTAATAGGATATGACTTAGGTTAGTTTTATTCTTGTTCTATTCGAAAACAGATTATGTTTGAAAAAACCAAACCATTACCACATATCACTGAATATTGATTGTGAAAATAAGTTAATTTGAATTAGGTTGTTGTATAAATAGTACAATATTTCTGTTCATGTCAAAGAGGTCACTAAAGTAAACACATTAGAACATTTTAAAGCAGTTGTTTTAAATATTCTAAGGATATAACATTGACATAAGTAAATATGGTCACTTATTTAAATTAGTATAAATAGTTATGTAATAAAGGTAGAGTTTATTAACTTTCAAAAAGATCTAAAATAAAAGTTTACATAAGTAATCAGTTAGGTAATAATATTTAACGTTAATTAAACATGAACAGATTTTGATAACTGGACGAGAGTTTTAAAGATCTTTCTATATCAAACACACTAACCCTTTTTATACTCTTGAATTGTATTCCATTTTATAATATATTTCATATTTACATTGAATAAAGATAATCAAAGAATATATCCCAATAAAGCAATAGTATTGATAACGTATAAACTAATACAATAACAATTTATACATCATTTCTATTTGATTACATTCAACTTAGGTTCTTATAATCAAGAGAATAATGAAAATCAACTCAATGATTCAGATATAAGTACACCAACTGAAGAAATGAAAACAATAATAAATGGAAAATACATTGAAAATAATCATGATCAAACTCATGCTAAATTAGGTATATCAATGAAATCATTCACTGATCGTCGACAAGAACGTCGTAAACGTTATAAAGCTAAAAAGGTCAAAATTCATCATTTGGTTGCTTTTCAATCAATTCTTCTATAGATGAATATGATACTGGAAATACACTTATAGAAGATTCAGATGAGACAACAAATGTTAGCAATTGTTCAATGTTATCAGATAGTAATGATTCTCAACCGGATTATTTATTTTAGAAACACATAATATGTAAGAATTAAGAAATTCAATACAAATAACTAATTTGGATAATGCTGAAACTGACAATATTAATCATAACGATATTAATGCAATGGATAAAACGGATTCTTTAGATGTGAGTAAGAGTTATTTCATGTTTCATATATATATATATATATATATATATATATATATATATATATATATATATATATATATATATATATATATATATATATATATATATATATATATATATATATATATATGAGTCTGGTAAATCAATAATGCTTGTTTTAGTCTAAAACATTTGTGTTCTTCACATTCATGATTACATACCGCAACGAAGCCATAAATGTCACATTTTGTAGTCAAAACGATATCATCTATGATGAGCTTAGGAATTAGCAGTTTTGAACTATAGTATATTAACGATAATTTAGGTATACAGTTCAATATTACTGCTGATCATCCGCTACAATTTTGAACTAAAATTCATAAATTTGATCTCAAATAAGTACAAGGGATCAAACTGATTGTTTGTAAATCAAACAACGAATTAGTTGAATATTATATTTTATCATTATTAATAAATCTTTTAAAAATTTCATGTAGAAGTTAGTAATGAATTAGGGTCGTTTTTAGATAAATATATGCTCATAATAACTGGCTATAAAATGAACAACACATACCAACCAAGAATATTGTTTTCAGTTAAATCTTCATTAACCATTGTTTTAATACAGAGGTTTTTTCTATATACAAATGTAAATTACTAAACCAGTCAAGGCAATTTATCAGTCAATTATAAGAATTAAATAGGTTACATAATATAACATAGTAATTAGAATTTATAAACTGATAATAGGAAGACTTAAATAATCAAGTATAAGTTTGAAATAGGCATTAGGAATTCATTCATTTAGTGAATGCTATATATTAAGAAAAACTAACTGGGATTCAGTCAGGAAAGATATTTTCAGACAGATATATTTATAGGCAACTCACTATACTACTATTATGGGATGTACTCATTACTTACAAAGCTTATGATCTGAAAACAGTTTATTATTTAACAATTTAAGTGAATATTACCCATATCAAATGTCTTAATTCTTTATTAGTTCATAAAAATACTGTTATGTAATTCTTATGAATTTATCAATAGAAGTTGCTTATTCATCCAATTTATTGACTAAATTCGGCATTTATTGTATAAAAATTTAAGGATGAATTTTCATTTCAGTTAGCTAATTCGCTTATTGCTCGGTGTTAAGCAAAATGGTGATATATATGTATAAACTGGAACGCAAGAGATGTTTGGTGTAAAACGGACACCCCCAAATTCCCTGGTAAGGCCGAGAGTAGGGAGAGTCAGCTCTCCCTTCCGAAAATGTTCTCACATGGACACGTACAAAGAGCCACTCTGTCAGGGAAGTCCTATTCACTGCCTTCTCGCGGCATTACTGTTGTTTACGAAATTGTGAGGACGAAAAGTGAGTGTTCGGTGCATCAACCGGGTTGGTGGATATAGAGGATCCACCCAGGGTAGTTGGAAAATCCTCAAATCAAACCAATGGTGCAAATGGGTTCCAGGATCCTGAGGAAACAAATGGCGTATGAACCATTTTTTGGTCACTGACTATCATGGGAGTGTATCTCCTTATGTTACCCCACTGCCTTGTGAATCAAAACTTTAGGTCAAAGGCATTAGGCGTGGTTCCTTAAGAACACCACCTGTTTCGGTTTGTACACCCGGGCAGTATCATAGCTCATACACAAATCAAGTGAATTGTATGGCGCAAATGCATTCGATGCCCCTATGTACTAATATTTATATGTTCAAATAAAATAAAATGACCCCCATTCTTATTGATGCACATCTATGTAAATATTCCGACTATTCAATAAATTCACTTTAAATAAGTCATTACATTTATATCAACAACAAAAAAAAATATTAAAATTCATTTTCTGAAGTGAGTTATAAATTTTACTCTTTGTCCACTAGCAAATGTTTGCTTCATATCACATACACATTCAATATGAAGTTTACTAAAAAGTACACTGATAAAATGTTTTCAAAAAGTGCATTAACACCATTCACACCATTCACCCTGATTTTATTGTTTAATTATTTTTGAATTATTTACACATTAAATATCTTTCTAGAAGATCTTAATTTGAAATTTCCATGAATATTGATAAGCAGTGATATGCAATAATGATCTTTGTACTTAGCAAATAAGAAAGTTTGGTAAAAAAATCTTTGAATTTACTAAATTCAATCGTCCATTATGTTAGAAGTATATATATAGTACTGCTAAAAATCTATGAACTGGAGATATTACTGTGAATTATTTTTCTTTTTTTTAAGTAGTATACTTTATTGTTTCCTCCATTAATAATAACTTTCCTAAGTGTTTCTTTTATTATTATAACATATTCTTTATAATAGACTATAGAATCTACTTGTTGCTTATCGTTAAATCTACTTCATTTTGGAAATAAGATAGATTATTGATTGAATGCATACATGACTATCAACTAATGTACATGAATTGAATCCAGTTATCAGATTAGAAACAACTGTTATTTAAATTGCCTTTTTTCTCATATCATAGTATCAAACTAGAAAGTGTATAGGCACATCGAATCTCGCGGGGCGGGATCGTGGATGCGCACTGCTGAGGAGTTCCATACTAAAAGGAAACGGCCGTTTACTGCTTTCAGGTTCTCCATGCTGATCAAGCTTTAATTCACTCATCAATTCAACTATAAAATTACTAAAATCTCCACAAAACCTCTTCTCAAAATAATCATCGTCATGATCATAAACAACATGGTGATGATCGTCATCGTATGCTCACTAGTGACTGGCTTGAAGAGGTATTTCCTGGAGTTCTAGTGAGAAGCAGTGACCAGTGGGGTTCAACCGGGTCTGTTGTGAGGTGGTAACTGACTGAAGACAATGGTGAACGGTAGCTGAATTTCGTGGATTGGTTGAAGTGAGACATTAACACCTTTGAATGACGGCTCAGTGGTGTAGAGGTGAAGCGTTGACGCGCGAGACTGATAGGTGGTGGGTTGGGATCCGACGGGGCAGGATCGTGGATGCGCACTGCTGAGGAGTCCCACAATAGGACGAAACGGCCGTCCAGTGCTTCCAGGTTTCCAAAATTGGTGGTCTAACATCAATCGGTTCATGATCTCAATCAAAAAATATAATAAAAAAGTGATAATTCCCCCACCTCAAATTAATATAGATTAATAATGAATATAAAAATAGAAAAAGTTAAGTAACTAATGAATGAAACCTATTGATTTATCGAAAAAAAATAAAGACAATTTATTAAAGAAAGTTTAGCTTTTATTAATGTCATTTACCAAACCTTCACAATCGTATTTATAGTTTATTGTATCATGTAAAAGATGATTGAAAATATTTCTAAGTATCGTAACTGATTACGTAATATACCGAAAATGGAAATGAAGAATATAAAGAAATTGTGGCTATAGAATTGTATTACGTCACAAATTGTTTGTAGACATAAATAATGAAAGGAAATGATTTAATCATCTAACTTCTAATGAAAAATTGTTATGATGAAAATATTTTATGGAAGTAAGATAGTTAATTATTTAATATTTATGAAGGATAGAATGAATTAAATTCGTATTCATAAGTAATCAATATTTATGAGGAAATAATGCAGTGGTAATGACTATACATTACAAAGTATGGAAGCTACGAAAGGTGTTACTACCATTATAACTGAGAGATTGGACATGTCGCCCTTGTACATAGAAATTAGGCTAGAATAGTTGAAACGCTAAAAACTCTATGGTACATAAGTTCCTGATTTGTATTCCTTCTGAGTTACTCTTTTACCTTTATGCATTATTTCGAAAGAGAATTCTAGTGAGACAACCTGACCAACGTTTGGAAAATATCTGACAGGTGAACTATTAACTGACTCTGTTAATCCTATAAATAACTAAATAGGAGAATGATTAGAGAAGCGTCCTGAGAGTGCTCAGTTTGTGTTGCGATTACAATTCGTCCCACGAGAATAAGTAAACATATTAATATTATTATGGTCTAAACATGAAGATTACGCTTCATAAATTCACGGATCAAAAGACGACTGAGAATTAAATGATCAGTTGAATTTGGAATTATTATTTATTGCTACTATTTAGGTTGCTTCTAAATTGATTCATAAATTATTTAAGTTCCACCATTTTCTTTATCTTGCTGAAATATGTGTATATTAATCAAGGTAGGCTTTTGTTACATTTCATCTATTTGGAATGCTAAAAAGAAGAATCTACACTCTTCCTGATTTCATCAGTTATCCTTTCCGTCTTTTATTGACTTCACCTTGGTATTATGTTATTTTTTTAGGTTATTACAAAATACTGTAATGTGGAAATCTGTTCATATATTTGCATTCTATCTATAGATCGATGCTTTAACATAGTATGGATTTATTTATTCACCTTTAAGAAGTAGTGTTTGTGTGATAATTAGAAGTATTTGAATTGTAATATGAACTAAGAATCCCAGAAATAACGTAATCGGATCAAGAAGTACTAGATAAGCACAAACGAATGTACTATATTTAGAATTTGAAATCAAGCATTCAACAAGTACAAAGGTATCATTAGTTCATTCAAACATCACAGTTAGTTTGAGGATAGATGATACTACTTGGTTTTAAAAATCAACCTAGCTTGCTATCCCAAGACTATCTTTTAGCAATCAGGTTATAGACTCAGATTAGTGTATTTGAAGATATCAAATTAAATTACTTAACTGATCTAATATTTAGTTCTAACTTGATTCTATTTTATTAATATAATATACACAGTTTGCTCAGGTGAAATATATTTCCCACATTTCCATATATTTTAGCATTCAGAAAAACACGTATTTAGATAAAAACGAACAGTTAATCCATAAAATGGCATATTTAATTGATGAAAAATAATTTTACTTGGAACCAATAAATACAAACCGATAATTTCTTTGAGCTTCAATAAATACGCTCATGTTTTTATTATCACGCTTCGTTTAGTATCTATCTATCTATCTATCTATCTATCTATCTATCTATCTATCTATCTATCTAT